ATCTCTATTTTGTTTTCTTTTTCTGCATGTGGTCAGGTTTTGATATCAGGGTTATACTGTCTTTGTAAAAATAGTTCCTAAGTGTTTCTTCTTTGTTCTTTGATAAGATTTGAGTAGTGTCAGAACTACATCCAGTAAAGGTTTAAATTGAAGAAGTCTGGTTCTGAAGCAGTTTTCAAAGATACTAATTAGATAAAGTTCTCATTTTCTTCTGTGTTTACATTGGTCTGTTTAGATTTGTCTCAGCGCCTGTGGCTCAAGTGGCTAAGGCGCCAACCACATACACCTAAGGTGGTAGGTTCAAATCCAGCCCGACCGCCAAAACAACAATGACGGCTGCAACCAAAAAACGCCTGGGGTTGTGGCAAGCACCTGTGGTCCCAGCTACTTGGGAGGGTGAGGCAGGAGACTGGCTTGAGCCCAGCAGTTGGAGGTTGCTGTGAGCTGTGATGCCATTGCACTCTACCCAGGGGTATAGCTTGAGGCTCTGTCTCAAAAAAAGATTTTTCTCTATTCTAGGATCAGTTTTAGTAATTTACATTTTCTCAGCAAATCAACCATTTGATCCAATTATTCACAGCTATTTGTTTTGCAAAATGCTCCTGTAGATCCTTTAAGCTTATCAGTGTTTGTGATTATTTTCCTATTCTGGTTTTTAACTTTCATGTCCTCTCTTCCCCATTATTTTCTTGATTATATTGGGGTTTATCAGTTTAATAGGCCTTTCAAATGACTACTATTGTACTGATCACTTTTAGTATTTTTGTTTGCTAATTTACACCTTTCTGCTATTATTTTCATAGTTTCTCTAATTCCCTTTATGAGAGGAAAACCTAAGAAGTACAACAGGTGGGGCGGCGGGCGGCAAATTTAGTAGGTTGAGTGTGTGTGTTGGGAGGCGGGGTGGGGAGGAAAGGTGTCCCCAAAACAAAGGTGAGTGGCAAAGCGAATTAAGGACGTTTCTGGAGACAGTCCCCCCAGGGCATCACTCCCCACTGCCAGCCTACATCTGCCCAGCTAGGTCACCAGCTCTCTGCTCACCATTCTCAGGATCTTCAATATTCCAGTGGGTGAGAAGAAAAAACGTCTGACGCCCTCGCTGAATTTGTCAGGGACTTTGGCCCGGCCCTTAGCACGCTTTACGATCGCCTGCTTTTCCTCAGGAGGCGGCTTGATCTCCTCTTTCTCAGCAGGCTCTTTGATCTCCTCAACAAGCTTTGTGTGTTTAGTAGGCGGTTTGAGTGGCTGCTGCCTAGCAGATATTTTGGTCTTTACGTTTTGGGCCGTTTTCCCTCCAACCGGCTTTAGATTTACGGCTTTGGTAGGTTTTCTTGGCGCCCTCCAGGGCACTTTGGGCTCCGCCTCAGGCTCGGTTTGTTGGAAGTCCTCTGAAGGGTCCTTGAACAACACACCCTGGCGGTGCTGAGGATTCATGGTGGATCCCCAGGGCCTGGCACTGTCAGTCTGGTCCTGTAATTTAGAATCAGGGCAGCCACGGCTGGCTCTCCCCTGGGAACCAGCTTCACGCCCCAACGGCTGCTAGTCACCTACCCCGACTTACCGGTCGCGGGCACCCTCCCCCCTCCTCGTGCGGACAGGCTGAGTCCTCCAGCCGTTCTCATCACTACCCAGGATGCTACTGTTGCCTACCCTGGGAACTCAGTGTGTCTGTACCTCCGTCCCCCCCATTCCCGGGTCCTCAAATCAGCTAGGCAGGAAGGAATTTGAAGACCACTGAAGGGCAGTTCTGGTGCATTCTTCCCTGCTACTCAGGCCTGGGAGCTGGAAAACCTAACCCCAATGCTCCCAATGCTCCCTTGGAAGTTATAGTAATGCTGAAAGCTGGGCGCAGAATTCGGGAATTCCTTCCTCTAGCTTCCTTGTTGAGATTAAAATTAGAACTGCAGAAAATATGTGGCAGAATAAAGAAATATGTTTAATACTTAGTGACAAACTGAAAACAAATATAAAATTACAAAACTTCTTTTTATCCAGGAACAGGCCTTTTCTGATAAGGACCACTTGGATTGAACAGAAGCTTTCGGTAAATAAGGGCCCCATCTGCAAGACAGGACACTGCAGCCAGGAGTCCAAATGCCTGGAAAAAAAGACAGGGTGTTACTGCCCCAGTCACGGTCCCAACTTCAACTAGTTTTAAGTGGTCTGCCCACCAGATTTCTCTCCTGCTAGGGTACTGGGATTGCTTCCTGTGCCTAATACTAACATGGGAAGAGATATTAGAGATCAAACTCTTCTCATGGCTGAGTTTTTCAAATAACCTGCCCATAGAAAGGGAAAGATCATTATTTTTTTTAAGACAGAGTCTCACTACATCGCCCTTGGTAGAGTGCCACAGGTTCACGGCTCACAGCAACCTCAAATTCTTGGGTTTAAGCAATTCTCTTGCCTCAGCCTCCCAAGTAGCTGGGACTATAGGCGCTTGCCACAACACCTGGCTATTTTTGTTGTTGTTGTTGTTGTAGTTGTCATTGTTGTTTGGTGGGCCTGGGCTGGGTTCGAACCCATCAGCCCTGGTGTATGTGGCTGGTACCTGAGCCAGAAAAGATAACTAAAGTGAACAGAAATAATAAAGTGGTGTGCACTCTGAAGTAAAACTTGTCTGTGTTTATCTCTTGCCTTGCTCTTGCATGTGTTCAAGCCTTACTGATGATATTAAGTTATCAATACACATATCTATCCCCAGTGTTCAACTATTTGATATCCCTATTGCCAGATTCTACTAGAAAAAGTGTCAAGATTAAATCATGGGGACCACAGCTATAAAAGTTTCAGAGAACTGGAGTGTAAGGTGATGATCCAAAGTGAATTCTCAAAGGCTGGGACACATGCACTTAAGAAGTGTGATTCTAAACAGGCCTCAGGAAAATGAAATTGAGGTAAAGGCAATAAACTAGACTATGAATGGGCCTTTAGATACTCTGATGGCTATTTGAAAGCTGGTGCCTCAGATGGAGAAGGGGGATGTTACTTCTTGCATGCCATTTAGTTAGCTTCATCCAGTGGCCCAAAAGTCTTGCTTGAGCCTGTAGTCCCAACTACTCAAGAAAGGTGAGGAGGATTGCTAATTGAGTGCTGGAGGGCAAAGGATGTAGGAAAGAAAGATGTGGCAAAACAAAGGTGAGTGACAAAGTGAATTAAGTTAACCCTTTCAAGGGTTTTCTGGCACCCCTTGGGCATCACTCCCGAGGCCATAGCCAGCCTGTATTCACCCAGTTAGGTCACAGCTCTCTGCTCACCATTCCTGGGATCCCAGGCATGGCTTCCACAGCTCCTTCTCCACCTGGAGTCTCAAACCACTGCCTCCTAGGTTCTGACCACACTGAATACCTCCCATCATTCTTTTCATGACTCTGGCATTCTGTGTATTGCTGGTTTCTCCAACTGGAAACTTTCCCCTCTTATCCCCTTGATTCTTGGCAAACCGCAGTTCCACTGCCAGAGAGAGGTAGCTGCTTCCTCTTTTCTGTGACTTTTAGCACTCTTTCAACAGCTTACATACAGCTGTTTGCACTTCTGTCATCTGTGTTAGGCTCTAAGCAACTTGAGGATAGGGATCACACTCTAGTTTAGGGCTATCCGAAAGAAACATAATATGAGTCACCAATGTAAGCCACATAATTAATTTAAGATTTTCTAATATCTACATTAAAAATGTAAAGACGAAAACAAGTGAAATGGATTTTAATAAATTTTATTTAGCACAATATATCCAAAATGTTATCATTTAACACATCATCAATATAATAAAGTTATTAGTTATTCTCCATATTTTTATTTGAGTAATACATCTTTAAAATTTGATGTGTATTTTATACTTACAGATCATCTGGGTTCAGACTAGCCATGTGTCCAGTGCTCGTAGGCACAGGTGCCTAGTGGCTATTGTACTGAAGAGCACTGCTCTATACTTTGTCAGCACCTGCCAAAGTGCACTTAAGGAATGAATAAATGACTGAGCAAATAAGTAAATGAAAGCAAATCCTATTCCTGGTCCCTCGTACTTCGTAATAGAGGGATAAGATTATCTCAAAAAACAACTGGGGGAAATTGCTGATATGGCACTATCTCATTTCTAGAATAATTCTGATTTCCTCATGAAGTTGCATAGGGCCTAAGGGAGATGAAAACCGTGGGCTCTGGCATATATGGCTGTTTGAGAGTGGTTAGTTCTAAGCGGCTCCTATGAAAGAAGAAGGAACTAGGAGGATAATTTAAGAAGAACTTTCTAATTCTCTAGATCAGAACCTAGAAAAGCCCAAAGATTTTGAATATCCTATAAGAAATCTCAGAAGAATAACAGGACTATAACTAAATTACATGACACACATTTTGGCTTGTTTTCTATGATGAAAGTCTGATGGAACCGAATTGCTTCTTTTTAAGCAGTACTCAAAATAATCCTTTAGTTACAAGGTTTCTACCAACATTCCCTTATCCTAAAGACATCTTTTGTTATAGTCTGTCTTTAAGTCCATCTTAAGAAGGATCTGAATAATACTCAAAACAGTCTTTCTCATCTTAACAGGTGTTTTAAAGGAAGAGATGAAACTCATCCACCATGTTTTTCTTTTGTTTGACATCAAATTTCTTAGAGCTCAGTGTTGCAAATGATTCTGATTGCTTTCCTCAGTCTAATTTAGCCTTATATACTTATAGGAAATATGTATAGGAACCTCTTTCTTTGGTTAACTACAGTTTTAGTATAAAATCCTATTCCTTCATATTAATCAAGTTAAGCACTGTAAACTGGCCTAGAACTCCAAGGATGAAGATAGTACAGCTTTCTATTCTTGCATCTGTTTTTCAGAAATTTGCATTATGATCAAACTGTAAGAAAGAAATCTCCACTTACCCCCCCAACAACTGTCATTGATGAGGTTTCTGGAATTAGTGCCAACACAGATACAATGATCATGAATACTGTTGTTACCATCGAGTTGATAATATCCTAAAAACACAGAATTGGAAGGTCAGCTTTACAAGAAGATTATTGAACAATGCTAAAATAAATGTGTCAGCTCCCTAAAGATTTTGCCCCTTTTACTTCATTTAACAATTTTCCAAAAGGAAGCATATTTATTCTGAACTGTTTTGAGAGTTTCATTTTATTAAACAAATTAGTATATAGCTTTCAGGAAACCAAAATGCCACAGTAAAATAACAGGTATATAGTATTTGGTCTATAATGACATCTAATGGGTTCTTTTTTACCTTTTGTACACTAATGATTTACTCAACAAATTTATATTTCTTTTTTACTTAGCATAAATGTAGTTGGAGGAAGAACTGATCTGCTTTGGAAAGTGGATGTATTACGTAGAAGGTTTAAATCAGAACGTGCACTCTGGGAAGTAAAAAGTCTCATTTTCAATAAGAAAATGCAGACTAATCTATACTGTATATCAAACTTCATGTTACTAAAATGCAATTACAAAGACTTAAAATAGGCTCGGTGCCTGTAGCTAAGTGGTTAGGGTGCCAGCCACATGCACTAGGACTGGTGGGTTCAAATCTGGCCTGGGCCTGCTAAACAAACAAAACAAACAAACAGCCAGGTCTTGCAATGGGCACCTGTAGCCCCAGCTACTAGGGAGGCTGAGGCAAGAGAATTGCTTGAGCCCAAGAGTTTGAGGTTGCTGTGAGCTGTGATGAGTGCACGGTATCCACCAAGGGCAACATAGTAAGGCTCTGTATATATATGTAAAAAAGATTTGAAACAGCACACACTTAAAGAGAAAGTGGTAATTTTTAGGAATATTCCTACATACATCTACATGCAATGGCTGGCCAACTATGTTGTTATTTCTGGTGATGTAGTCCATTCATTTAATAATTTTACAAAAGAAAGCATATTTATTCTGAACTGTGGCATTAAAAAGTATAATTTACATTTTTGAATGAATGTGTAGTGTAGGCAAGGTAAATCATCTTTATTCTGGAAATGCTTTTTCTTTGCAGACACCTGTAGGCAGGAAGGAATCTTTACCACAGAAATTCCAAATTCTAAAACCCTGGTAACTCAGTAGTTATTAAAAAGAAAAGTGCAAAAAGGTTCAATGGATCAGGAAAAGATTCGATACATTTAGGAAGGAAAAAGTTCTTATTTGTAGGCGATACTGAGTCTAGCATCCTAGGTTAATACTGATCTGTGCAGGATATTTTGCTCTGCTTCAAGGCAACAGACCACACCTCTACCTCAGCCAGGCAGCTCTGCCTCCCGTGAGCAATTTGTGCAAATATTTATAAATGGCTTTAGATAAAAGTGGTGTTCTAGGAAGCACAAACAACCATAGGGGGAAAATATGAAAGGATGGCATTGCTAGTAAATCATCTAACAGAGAAACATCACTATACACAATGGTGTGCTGGCTCCAGTGTTTGCTTCTTTCTTGACTACCTGGGCAGGGGGTTACTTTGTTTATTTTTAGTGAGCTTGTTTTGCAGAACTGGAAAAATAATGAACAAACAGAAGACGGTATGTAGCCCCTCAGCATCTGCCAGACAATATTCCAGGAAGTCAGATGAGACCAGCCTAACAGAAAACAAGTGTTCTGGAAAACCACCACCTGTTATTATTTCACAATAACAACTTTTCTCTTCTTTAAAAATTTCAATAAAAGCCCAAGCTACTCATTCTCAGGGCCCATAATTTCTTCTCCTTTTCATGCTATGCCCTTTCCTCTCTTAGAAAGTAAAATAAAACTTCTTGCTTCTAAACTTACCTTAATCTTTGAATTGAGAATTCTTTATCAGCCTGTACAAGCTCACACCCTAATATGATATGCCTGTTCTGGAACATCAATGATCCTTAATAGTAATTTAAAACATTGCCATGGAGAAGAATGTAAATTTAATTTAAAAAATGGAGATTTCAGCTTGGCGCCTGTGGCTCAAGTGGCTAAGGCACCAGCCACATACACCTAAGGTGGTGGGTTCGAATCCCCAGCCCGGGCCCGCCAAAA